CTGCTACTGTGACTGTTACTACTGCTACCAGTACTACTACTACTACTGCTACTACTACTACTACTACTACTACTACTACTACTACTACTACTACTACTACTACTACTACTACTACTGCTACTACTACTACTATACTACTACGACTAGTACTACGACCACTACTACTACTACTACTACTACTACTACTACTACTACAGCGATTATTACTACTTCTTCCCTTTTTCTAATACTTTTACTACTACTACTCACTTACTAATACTACTACCGATTACTACTACATACTACTGTTAATACCTACTACTCCTACTACTATACTACGACTAATGCTGTACTACGCGATGACTACTACTACTACTACTACTTAATCTACGACGTACGACTACTACGTTAGTTCTCATAGTACGACTACTACTACTACTACTACTACTACTACTACTACTACTACTACTACTACTACTACTACTACTACTACTACTACTACCACTACTACTACCACTGCTACTGCCACTACGGCCGTTTGCGGCCTCCAGAGGCTCGCGCTTGGCCCCGACCTTCAAAAAACGATTCCGGGCCCACGCATCGAAGAAAATGGAGCGGCGGGATGTTTGGGTCCTTGTCGGTTCCTGCTTTGGGGTGCGTTCGGGAAGCCGCGCCACGCCGAGAGCGCCCCTGGGGTGGATCGGCCCGTCCCGAAAGCCACATGGCCTGGCCCTTCGCTGGCAGCAAGTGCGAGAGGCGGCGGGCAGAGGCGGCGGCTGTGGCGGTGACGACGACCGGTAGCAGCTGCACGCCAGGCCCGACGACGGCGACGACAACGACAACGACGATGGCGACGACCACGGCCACGACGGCGACGACGGCGACGACGTCGACGTTGAGAACGAGGATGGTGAGGGAAGCGGGGGCGACAGCGATGAGGAGGAGAGCGAGGAGAAGGAGGAGAGGACGATGGGGAGCGAGGGGTGGTGATGGGAGAGGTGACGAGGAGGAGGAGGAGGAGGAGGAGGAGGAAAAGGAGGAGAAGGAAAAGGAGAAGAAGGAGAAGAAGAGGGAGGTGAGCGAGGAGAAGGAGGAGGAGCAAGGAGGAGCGAGGGGCAGGAGATGCGAGGAGGGAGGGGAGGGTGGGGAGCGGAAGAGAGGCAAGGGAGAGGGCGCAGGGGAGGGGAGGGGAGAGGACTACGGGGCGCAGGAGGGAGGAGAGGGAGAACGAGCACTTGGCGATCGGGTGAGCTCGATAATCCGCTACGTGAACTCCCCGCGACCGCACGAGGACACCGTGCCTCTCGATCGGAGAGGGGCGGCACGCTGCCTGGCTGCACCGTGGGCGCACGGGCGCACGCACCCCAGAAGTCAGGAGGGGAAGGTAGGCATAGACACGCATGGGCTCAGATTTCCATGGAAATGGAGTGAATCCAGACCCCCTCGCGCTATGAAAAAATCGCATCGGAAGGCTTGTTGCCCTTATTCTAGACAGGCCACATACAAACGAGACAATTCGCGCGGCATCGTCGCGTTTTCTGTTTATCGTCCAGGTGTGTTATGTGTCCCCCTCCGTTCTTTGCTTTCCTCCCTAATTGTTCCGGCAGCGCACTCTTTCCCCAGGTTTCGTTTGGAAGGCTGGCACCATAGCGTACATTAGACGTGCGACCGTCTCCGAGGGCTCGGGGGCTACACGCCCCTTGGTCGCGTTTAAGTGGCCCTGTGTTGTAGCGTAGGCGTCGATGTCGCGAAACATGCAAGCGATATCATTATATCATGTACATCCCAACCCAGAAGGTGAGTGCAAGCAGGCTCCCTGGCTTACACGTGCAGGAACTGCGCTGGCTCCTCGCAGGAGCGACGAACCCAACAACACCGAACCTGACACACACACACACCTGCACACACACACACACACACGCACACACACACACACGCACACACACACACACACACGTTGGTTTCCTTCCCGGCCAGCTGATTCAATGCAGTGAAGGTATTAGCGGAGAATTCGAGTACGAATTGCCACAAAGCGTTGTTGGTGGTTGCGGGCTGCAATGCAGGTAAAAGGAGGCGTGTACGACGGCATGCGCATGCAAAGGCTGGGAAGAACGGCCAAGAGACAGTGCGTTTGTGCGGCGGCCCGGCATTATTGCCAATAATCGGAGGCGGATGCCAGGCAGAGGCAACAGGACAACAACTGCAAACACACACACACAACATACCCACAACACACACACAGTCTTGCGTCGGTGGCTGGGCAGAGGGCGACTGCTCCGGCGGATAGGCAACAGGGGACACGTTGCATGGAAGCTGGCCCGCTCAGACTTGCCGGCTGCGGCGGGGGGAGCGCCAGGGGGGGGGAACAGCGCCAGCACAGGCTGTATTGAACTGCTTTGAGCTGAAGCGGGGGGGGCAGCGAGGAGCTGCACCTGGTGGTGAAGAGAAAGCGAAGCGAAGCCCAACCGGGTGGACCGAGCACAGTCCAGGGATGAGCCAATGCGCCGAGAACGGCAGGCATGCGAGGCGCGTGCGAGGATATGGGGAAGGCCAGGACGGACCCGCCCCAGCTGCAGGCACTGCGCCGCGGGCACAAGGGTGCTGGACGGCACAGAGCTCGATGTGGCTGAAGCAGGTGCCGAGCGGCACAGAACAGTCATTAGCAGAGTAAAGGCAGCCATGGGGGCGGTGCCTGACCCAGTGGACGAAGGCGCGGTCCAAGGACACACACACACGCACACACACGCACACACACATACACACACATACACACACACAAACACGCACGCGCGCACGCACGCACGCCGCACCCACCCGCAAGCACCCGCACGCCCCCGCCCCCGCACGCCCCCGCACGCACGCACGCACGCACGCACGCACGCACGCACGCACGCACGCACGCACGCACACACACACACACACACACGCACACACACACACATACACACATACACACACGCACACACACACGCACACACACGCACACACCACCATACACACATACGCCGCACGCATGCCACCCCCACACATGCCCACACACACATGCCCCCCCCTTGCCGCCAACCAAACACACACACGCCACACCACACCACACACACGCACACACACAACATACACACATACGCACGCACGCACGCCCGCACGCACGCACGCACGCACGCGCGCACAAACACATACCACACACACACACACGACACGCACACGCACACGCAACGCACGCATGCACCCCCCACACATGCCCCCACACACATGCCCCCCCATGACACACACACACACACAAAACACACAAAACACACACACACATACATACATACACACATACGCACGCACGCACGCACGCACGCACGCACGCACGCACACACACACACACACACACAATCCTGGCTCGTCTCCGCCAAGAGGGGACATCCCCTCAGCATGTACCCCCGCAGCCCGCTTTCAAAAGGGGGAGCGCTTCGTGGCACGAGCGGATGCTCGTGCGCGCCCAGGTCGCGTAAACGCGAGCGAGAAGTCTCGCTCCGCGACTGCTGGCGGCTCGCTGTGCCATTGGGCATGCATTCGCGGACGTAGCCATGTCATCTAGGGAAGAAAAGCAACCCGACCCCCATGATTGGCGTTTAATGCACGGCCCTGGGCGTTTACTGAACAGCCTTGTCCTGTTCGATTCCTTTCCTGCGTACGTTTGCCAAACGTCTTCGCGTGTCAGGGTACTTCTTGTGAGGGTGTTTTGTCCCCTGATCTCTACAGGCACAACAAAAGCGCGATCGAGACAACGCGCCGCGCCATGCGCGGTGACAGCTGCGTCACATCGTCGGAGCTCTCGCTTCGCAACTGGTAGCGCCTCGCTGCACGACGTCGACATTGGTGGGGGGGGCAGCTCGACGGGGCGACTCTGGCTGCGCTCCTTTCGAAGGACTGGGGACAGAAGCATCGCTCTGCCGGCTCCGCTGCATCTGCGGGATCCTTGCTCTGCGGCTGGAGGCGTCTCTTTGCGCGACGTCCGCGTTGGCGGGAGGGGGAGCTCGAGGGGGCGGGACTGGCGCCCTCTCGGAATCTCGAAAAGCACAGGACGCGACGCTCTGCAGGCCTCTCCGGGTGGTGCCCAGGAGCGCTACAGCCCGCCTTCTTGCGTCGCTGAGAGATGGGCGAGGTTGACCTCGCCCGCCTCACCTGGCAGCCCGGCTAATTCCAGCGAGAACAGGGCGGCACCCCACCCCTCCCCCCTCGCCGCCGCGCGCCCCCCCCGGCGGCAGCGGACCGGGCGCCCCCCCCGTCGCCATGGCCGTGGCCGCGCCGCTGGGTCCCGCGGAGCTTGAGCTGGAGCTGCTGGACCTGGACGAGGTTCGTGGGCGAAACGCATCCGTATCTGCGGCCTCACGGACCGCGCCCCTGAGCTGCGACCTGGCGGATGCGGGGCGCTGTTTCCGCGGAAAGACCCAGCGCGGAACGCACCCGTACGACCGCGCATCCGCGGGGTCGCGTCCCGGTGGCCAGACCGCGAGGGCGCAGGAAACGCACCTGCTCGCCGCTCGTGAGAGGTCGAGCGGAGGACCATCGCGCGCCACGACGCGCGCAAGCTCATGCGGGCGCTCCTCAGTCCAGACCCCGAGCCCCGCGGCCCGGGCTCGCCGCCCGCCCTCGCGGCGGACCCGGCGGCCGCGGCGGGGCTGGCGCGGTACGCGGGGGTGCTGGGGCAGCCCGCCGGGGACCTGCTGGCTCGCTGGGAAGCCGGGGTGCTGCGGCCCCTGGAGGCCTCGATGGCGGAGGCCTCGGCGTCGGCGACTCAGTCTGCGATCGGCGATCACAGATCGCTCGAGTGGGGGATCGACTGCAAAGTCGATGTGCCCCAACATTGATTGATCTGCCGAACCCACGAAAAATACGTAGAGTGCTCAATTCGTATGCAGAGAATGTCCTACGAATTTCTGCAGATTCGACGGAAAAGCAGTTCTGGGGTAGATAATTTCTGTAGTCGATCCCCGACTCGAATCGCATTGATCGGGGGACCACATCATCTTCGAGATCACATGATCGGCTCGGTTCGGTTCGATCCCGCGATGGTCCGAGCTGAGGTGCGTGATCGATCGGCGATGGGAGCGGCAGCCATCGTGATCAGGGACCTGCGATCGGATCACGCCATCGGGTGGCGCGATCGGCCGAGTGAGCAGCCAGACGCTGAGGTCGGCGACTCTGGCGCTGGCTGGCGAGCTCCAGCGCCTGCGCAGCGCGAGGAGCGGGGCGCAGCAGAGGCTGGAGGCCGCCTCGGCGCGCAGGATGGCGGCGCTCGCCGCGCTGGCGGAGCAGGAGGAGGGGGAGGAGGAGCTCTCGTCGCCCCGCGCGGGGGCCGCGACCGAGGCGCCCTGCCCCGAGGGGGGCGACCCGACGGGCGGCAAGCGCAGGCACCGCTCCTGGGGCAAGAAGATGATCCGCAAGATGCACGTCGGGGGGCGCAGCAGGTCAGGATCGCCCAACCGATCCCCGGCCCCGCCCCCATCCCGATCCCCACCGTCCCACCACCCCGGGTCGGGATCTGCCCCTCGGAGCTCGAGGGGAACCGCCTGCATCCCGACCTAAGGCGGGAAGTCGGCCAGTGGGGTCCAGGCCACGCCCGTGGGCATGGGGATCGGTGAAGAGATGCTCCGCAGGAGCCCCCGGAGCGGCGACCACCCCGCCGCGCAGGACCGGAGCCCTCGGCGGTCCCCGCGCGGCGGGGAGGGGGCGGCGGCGGCGGCGAGCCGCGCGCTGGCGCAGAGCGCGGAGGAGCTGCGCGCGGCGGCCGAGGAGGCCGAGGGGCTGACGGAGATCGGGGGAGGAAAAGGGTACCGATGCCGCTGCCCGATGATGCCAAAGAGCGCTCAAGCTGTGATCTGCGCAATGTGTGCGAAAGCAAAGCTCCAAAAACTCGGCTCAAGTATGATACAAGAAACGACTCTCACACTGGTACCGATACCGCTGCCCCTGCCTCGATGGCACCTCTCTGGGCCTCCTAGGAGGTCCTCGCCACGGCTGGATTCGCCTCGAAGAGGTCCGGGGAGCAGCGCGGTATCGGTGCCTTTTGGCTTCCCCAGGAGAGGTGTGTCCGCGTCGCGAGAGATCTGCTCGAGAGGTGCGCCCAGGAGGAGGCGGAGTACCACAGGGGACTGCTGGAGGCGGTTCGCGAGGCCGTGCTCGCGCTGGAGGAGTGGGCCGAGGACGCCCGCGCGGCCGTGAGGCGCCTCCGAGGGCCGCCTGGCGGCGAGGTGGAGACGATCCCGACGCCAGCGTCGGGGCTGTCCCCCGACGACGGGGAGGATCGGGCATTCAGTCACGGAACGCCCACCCAGACAAGTCGATTGAGGAAGTCTGCACCGTTTCATTCGACATTAGCACTCGAGGGGTTCACAGTCGGTTCGCTCGTTTTTGGACGTCGATGTGCTATCCCGCCAGGGTCCACTCGAAATGCAGTGCAGTGCGCACGTCGAGTGCCCCTGCAAGCTTTCACTCAAGGGCGTGTTGCTGAAGGGTGTTCTGTCAATCCTCCAGAGGAGACGCCCGACGGCGCGCTGGGGCCCCTGTTGGACGAGAACATCTCCAACTCCGACCTCGAGAAGGCGGCCCTGTGCGCCGCAGAGGACAACGACCGCATGGCGCTCCGGCTGCTGCCCGGCGGGGGGGGAGGCGGGCTGCACGAGCCTCCCAGCGCCGACGCCGGGATGGACGACAGCGGGGTGGTCGCCAGCCTCATGCGGCTGGCCCAGGAGAACGCCAAGCTCGCCCGCGAGTGGCCACGGGCACCCCGGGGGCGCCTCCGGAGCAGCTCGCACCGCTTCGCGCAGCAGGTGGCCGGCCTCGAGAGCCTGGCGCGCGCCTGCGTGGCGTCCGGCTCGCAGCAGCGCCACCCGTACGTGCGTTGGCGGTCGAGCCCGGCCAGCTCCAGCTCTGGGTCCGGGTCGCCGTCGCGGCCCCGCGACGCTAGGACAGGGGCGGCTGTCCCCAGCCCGCGGTCGGCAGCGCCCCGCCCCTCGCACGCCCGGGAGGCGGCCGCCGCACCGTCGCCCAGCCCGCCTGACAGCCCCGCCGATGCCGCGGCGAAGGGTCCTTTTGGGAGTGGCCCGTTCGAGGAGTCGAGCCCGGGCGAACCCGTCGCTGCTCCGACGGGGAATCCTTTTGAGGACATCCCGTCCGAGGAGTCAAGCTCGGAAGAGGCCGCCGCTGCGGAGACGAGGAATCCATTCGAGGGCAGCCCGTTCGAGGATTCAAGCCCAGAAGTCGTTGCCGCTGCGGCGACGAGGATCTCTGTCGAGGGCAGCCCGTTCGAGGAGTCGAGCCCGGAAGAGGCCGCCGCTGCGGCGACGAGGGTCTCTTTGGAGGACAGCCCGTTCGTGGAGTCAAGCCCAGGGGAGAAGTCCCCAACGTTTGGGCAGTCACGGAACTTCAGTGGACTCACCCCGCCGTCAGGCGTCGGCCGCTTGGGTTCGCAGGTGCTGCCCGACGCGGACTCCTGGGGCCAGATCACCGGCCAGCAGGCATCGCCCAGGCCCGACAGGGGTCCCTTTGGGACCCTCGGGGCCGAGACCCCGCCGCGGAGCGCCGTCGAGCACGGCGCCGCAGACGACCCGCAGAGGCAGCACCGCGAAGACGACAGCCCACGGGAGCTGCCGGCGACATTCTCGAGCTCGTCCTTCAAAGCGGAGTTGGCGGACTCGTTCGAGGCCGCGTTGGGGCACAGTGACGCCACGTTGCATGGCGACCGGCTCGGCGACGAGGCTGGCTATTGGAACTGGGGCCGATGGCGCGACTACCATGCCGAGGAGCGGCACAGGGAGCTGTTGGCGGTCAGCTGGCGACTCACCGAGGCTCTCAGCGACGAGGACTGGGCAATGCTGGCCTACGAGCTGATGCTGCTGGTGCAGAGCGCGCTGACCGAGGACGACCCCGCGTTCCAGCGTGTGCGCGACGCACTCCCGATCTTCCGCACTGCTCTGGGGATCAGCTCGAAGCAGCACCACCATCTGTGCGAGCTCACGGTTCCCGACGGCTCCCAGGCGTACGACCCTCTCGATGTCCGTTTCCGCGCGGCCATCCTGCTCAGGTCATGGGCCCATGCCGAGGTGCCCGCGTGGGGACTCGACCCGTTCAAGTGTGGGATCTCGCAATGGACAAGAGCGTGGATTCTCCGACAGATCGAGGTGATCTTGAGGAGCGTCCTTGCGAGGTCGGCGGAGGACGGGGAAGCACCGACTGTGGGAGCGTGTGAGGCCAGCGGAGGCGCGACGGTGTCCCAGGTGGCCCGCGAGTGCGAGGAGAGGCTCCGGGCACTTTCTGGCCTCGCCGCCGAGGACCGTTGGGGGCAAATGCCCAGGCCAGACGACGAGAGCCAGGCGAGCGACGCAGAAAAGCGGGGCCGACTGCGCGGTCATTCGCGCGTGAGCTTCCCGCGTAAGGTCGCGCGTGACCGCCCCCTTCTCCACGCGGTGTGCCACGCCGACGGCCCGCGTAAGTTGCAGCGTACGGTCGCTATGTCTTCTCGCGTAAGGCCCGTGTCTTTGCGGCGCTGAGGTGGACGGCCGGCAGGCACTGGCGGAGCTGATGGATTGCCTCGACTCCGTGTGCCCTCCGGGCGACCGCTGGCACTTCCACACGCTCACCGCCGCGAAGGTCTTCAGCGTGCTCTGGAAAGCCGCGACGGACCCGGGCGAGGACCACCAGGTCAGCGGCAACGCCAAGCTGGTGGCCGAGGCCTTGCTGATGGGGCTCCAGCCGCGGCTGGCGTCTCCGCCGCTGGAGATGGAGACGCACGCCCTCCTGCTCGCGCAGCAGGTGTGGATCGGCCTGTCGGGCGTGACGCCGATGTCGCGGATGCGATTCCTGCCCGAGGGGGCCGTGAAGGCGGCCGCGGCCATGCTCGGCGACTTCTCCAGCTGGCTCCAGCGTGCCTCTGTGGACACCGCCCTCTGCCTGGTGGCGCGGGGTGTCCACTCCCGAGACCAACATTCGGCCGACTTCGAGGCCGCGGAGATCATGGCGCGGAGGTTGCTGTCAGTGGAGCTGCGGGACAGCGTGCTGCAGCAGCTCAGGGACATCCGCACGCACCTAACCCCTGCAGCTTCCGTTTCCGCCATCGCCGTGTGGCACCGCAGTGCCCAGCTGAACCAGCTGCCTCGCAGCGAGGCAGGCGCCTCGCGCGAGTTTATCCGCAGGATGGGCCAGTGGCTGGTCTTCGAGAGCAACTCGGCGTTGGCCGAGCGCGAGCTAGAGGCCTACGACGAACCCCCCCAGGTGGGCACCGCCGACGAGTGGAGGAAGGCCGGCCCCGCCATCCAGAAGCACCTGGAGGGCCTGGCCGCTGCGGTGGAGACGCTCACTCGGGACTTCGAGGAGTGCGAGCGCAGGCTGGGGCGTCAAAGTGTGCGCAGCGGAGCAGGGGGGGGGGGGGGGCGGTCGCTTCGCGCCTGCCCTGTTCGCTCCGGCTCGTCGCTTGTCCCGCAGACTTCCAGGAATGCTGCGCCTCGCTTCTTGTCCCTATTCCGCCGCAGATGCGCGCGGCTGTGCCGTGGAAAGCTGGCCCAGCGTTTGTGCTACGTGTTCCCCGCCAGTTTGGCCCATGTTCTTTAGCGGGCCTTTTTCGTAATCGCACCCCTGGCTGTGGATGTCTGACGGCGCCCCGGGCAACTCGAGTGCGCGAGCGGATTGCCTCTGCCGCGCCGTGACGAAAAAAGTAAATGTCTGACCCCGAGCAGGTGCTACCACGAAGCCTGGGAAGCTGTCGGCCTGGGCGAGGACCACCTGGGCATCGCCGTGGCAGCGCTCTGCGATGCCGTCAGGCCGCGCGTGCTGCCCCTAGTAGAGCACGGCGTGTGGCCATCGGAGGGCTCGGAGGTCATGGAGATACCGGCGGGGGGCGGCAAGCTGCTGCACGCCCTGGAGTCCTTGGATCGCGCAGCGCGGAAGTTCCCGCTGCCCAGGCATCAAACAAAACCATCAAACATACATTTGCATGAACTGTCGAGGTCCTAGCGGATCTCTTGGGTCGGCGCTGGACCCCCCCCCGTCCTGGCCGCACCTCCAGCGTCGCCCCAGGCGCATTTCGCGCGCCAGGGGAGGGGGGGGCCAGCGCCAACCCAAGAAATTCGCGCGGACCTCCGAAGGCTCACGGTCGGTGCTCTTTGGTCAGTGTGTCGCGCTGCTGGTGCTGGCCCACCACGCTTCGGCGCGACACGCTCACCACGTCCCCGGCTCCCGAGCATCAGCGTCCGGAGTCCTTCTCCGACTTCCCGCCCCGCGGAGCAGAGCGACACACTAACCGCCTGCAGGGCATAGCATGTTTCACGGGCCGTCCCCTCTTTGCGGCCGCCCGCTCTGTCCCATTTTCCCGCGCTTGCATGCTAGCCAATTCGCTACAACGGTGCCCCCGTTTAATCAGCTCCTTTCGCCAGCGCAGACGACACCTGCCTAGCCGCCGACGCAAAACAACGTTTCACGGGGCCGCCGCCGCGTCGTGCTGAGCAGAAGTTCCCGACCGCATCCGCCACGCCGATCCTGGCGCCCCCAAGTCTGTATTCCAGGTCGATGGGCTCGCCGTCCTGGCGTGGCCATAGGAGGGTGTGTCCGCCAGGCCCAGGCCCATGACAGGGCCCGGCCAGGATCGGCGCGGGTGGATGCTTGTGGAATCGGGGTCGGCGAAGAGGGGGGTGATGACTAGGGGGGGATATCATGGCGGGGGGCATGATATCTCCCCAGAGTTCATGGCGCCTCTTCTTATTTCAATACCTCCCTGGCCCCCCCCCCTGGGCCGCGCAAATGCCGCCGGCCGTGATTTGCGCCCCCCCCTCTTGGACGCCCCCGATGGAAGTCGTCGAGACTCTTCGAGAACGTTGCAGGGCCTCCGGAGACCATCCGAAGCTCCTCGTCGACGCTGCCGACACGAGCTACAGGGGCAGCGGGCGGGAGGCGTCGGGGCGCTGTGGCCGCGAGCCCGCGGATCCGGGGCGTCGTTCCGCGGATGCCCCGCGCGGAACCTATCCGCACGACCGCGCATCCGCGGGATCGCGCCCCAGAGTCCAGGCCGCGAGAGCGCGGGTGTAAATGCGGATATCAAATGTTCGCCGCTCGTGCGCATGGCCCCTCGTTGCGAGCTTCTCCTCCAGGGCAGCGGGCAGGGAAAACAGAGAGAGAGAGAGAGAGAAAACAAAAAAAAGAGACGAACCAACGACCAAAAAGCAAACACAAAAGCGAGGCGGCGGGCGGCAGGCGGGGCGCTGGCGGACCTGCTCGTGCCCCACGTCGCCGCCGCCCTGAAGGTGCGCTTCTCCGCCATCAGCCGCGACGCCACGTCGCGCGCGCTGGCAGAGATCGAGCTGCGACCTCTGCGGGCGCCCACGCTGCTCCACTGCGAGGGCGTGGTCACGCTGTGGCGGTTCGTCCCGAGGAGCCAAAGATGGCATGAGCAGAGGATGCCCCGCAGGGGGGGACAGAGCACCCAGCGCGCCGGGGCAGGAGTCGCACACGGCCCTGCCCTGCGCGATTCCTGCCCCAGGTGCGTGGACCAGGGTGGCTGCTCTGCCTTCTATTCCCCGGAGCTCCGCGCACACTTCGTGGGTCGGCACTGGGCATCCCTGGCGGCGCCTTCAGCGCCGCCCGTGGCGCGCTCCGCGCGTCGGGGAGGGGTCCAGCGCCGAAGCAGGAGATCCGCGCGGACCTCAGAGAGACTGTGGTCATGCCGTTCTTCGCTGCTCTATCGTCCACGATGCTTTGGATGCTCCCCTGACGCTGGGTGTTCCCGTGGACGTTGTCGTGCCACCGTTCGTCGCCTTCCTGCAGGACGTGGTCGAGCAGGCGCAGCAGAGGCTGACGTGGCCTCCCCAGGGCACCAGAGCCTTCCCGATCGCGCAGCGCGCCGCGGCGGTCATTGCCGAGATCACAAGCGGGGCGCACGAGAGCGCGGACTCCGACGAGGAGGTCGCGGACGAGGACCCGATCTCGCCGCAGCGGGCGGTGCGCACCAGGTCGACAAGCCGGCGCACAAGGATCTTCAGGATGGGTAGCAGGAGGACGGCCGTCGACGAGGCCGGTGCCACTGCGAACGTCATCTCGGAGCCGCAGTACCTCGAGGAGGTCGACGAGGAGGCGTGCCGCGAGCCCGTCCAGGTGGTCAGCGTGCGCCTGAGCTCGCTCGCCTTCTGCCTCACGGAGCTGGACCGGGCCACCTCGCGGCTGAGGGCCGAGGTGAACCGCAACGACAGCTCCGACGAGCCCACCGTGCGCTACAACCACGCGCGCTGCATGCTCGCTGGCGAGCTGAACGACGTGCGGGAGGCCCTACTGGAGCACGGCAGGGCGCTGGCGCGACACCTGGCCTCGCGCTTGGTTCTTCGGGAGCTCCGGCAGGACCTCTTCGAGCGGCTGTATTTTGCACCGCCGGGTGCCGACGAGAGCGCAGCCGTTCTGACGATGGAAGCGCTAGTCGACCAGCGGAAGCAGAGCTTCCTGAACCTCATGGGCCAGACGCCTTCTCCCATGCTGGTGCAGTTCGTCGTCCAGCTCGGCCTGCAGCTGAGCGGTGCGTGGATCTACGTCGTGGTGGACTACCTGGCTCGCAAGAGGGCCTCCAAGGTCAGGCAGCACTTCGAGGAGGACATGAGTGCGGTCAAGCACCTCCTGGACGCGCTGATGGAGGAGGCCCTCCGGCGCGCGCGCGGGGGCCCACAGGCCGACGGGTCGCCGAGCGGTGCCCTCGAGGCCAGCCCTGGCCCCCGGCTCTGGGGAAGCCTGCGGACGAAGATGCGGACCGGCGAGCTCCAGGCGCTGCTCACCGACGGGGGCGAGGGGACGCCGGAGCGCAGGGCGCTTCAGCAGGAGCTCTGGAGCCGTCTGGGGGTCCGAGGCGGCCCAGCACTGGTTCTGGGCAGCAGGAAGGGCGGGAAGCTTCGAGGTGCTGGGTTCGCGGAGAGGCCTCGTGCCTTTTCGGGCCTTTGGGAGCCGTTGTCGGGCCCTGGGACTGCCAGGAGAAGCAAATCCAGGGGGACAAATTCCCCGGATGGACCTTGGGATGGGGTGCCGGGGACCGATTTTGAGCGGTCTGGCCTCATCCCTCTCTCCTGGCCGATTTTCTGGGGTCCCTGGGGGAACGAACGATGACATAAGCATAAGAACTCGGAGGTCCTCGCGGATTTCTCAGATCGGCGCTGGACCCCCCTCCTTGGCATGCGGAGCGCGCCAACGGCGGCGCTGGAGGCGCCGCCAGGGCGGTCCAGCGCCGATCCGGGAAATCCGCGCGGACCTCCGAGTTTTATATTCATGTCATGCTTCGGGCCCCTAGTCCCAGCCAGTGCAGACCCCCCGGCCGCCTCCAGCAGGAGCTGACCGTGGAGGAGTGCAACCAGGGCCGGCGCGCCTGGCAGGAGACCGAGAAGGCGCTGCAGCTGCTCAGCGCGAGGCTCGAGCTCGTCTCCTCGGACGACCAGCTCGCCACGTACGCCGGCCACGTGCTGTGGGGATCGCCGCCCACGCCGACCGGGGAGCGCGCCAGGCCAGCGGCGCCAGCGAACTCGGGGCCGAGGGCGCTGGCACTGGCCCGTGAGCTGCCCGCACGCCCTCCTCTCGGCGCGGTGTGCCCATGCTTGCGGCCTGCGTGAGCCGCCGTGCTCCGAGGTCGCCAGGCCCTCTCTCGCACAAGGCCCTTGTTTGTGCCGTCGCTCAGGTCTCCGGCGCCGGCTCTTGCGGCGGACGCGCACCGGCAGAGCTCGTGGAAGACGCCGCTGTCCGCGCCGAAGGGCCGCGGCACTCTCACTGCGGGCCCGGCAAGGCCGTCCGAGAGACCTTCGCAACACGCGCACCGGCCCGATCCCCGTCTCCCCCTCCGTCTCGTCCCGAGGAGGCTCGAGGCTCGAGGCTCGAGGTTCGGGTCTGTGGGAGTGCTTCGCTGATTTGCAAGCCTCTTGAGGCGTCCAGGGACTCCCGAAGTGAGCGACGAGATAATGATTCGGCGCGGGTATCCCCACATGTGCATCTCGTTTTCTGACACTTGCCTCTGTGAAGTCCGAGTGAAAGCGCTCCTCTCAGCTTTTTTTGCCGCCGAATGATGCCTTCTCTCTGCCGCCATATGCTGCCTCTGGTGGCCCCCATGGTGTGCCCAAGTGATCTGCCTGCTACGTCGCAGTTCTCATGGGGCTCCGAATGAGAGTGTTTCGCTCGAGCATCTCCACAACCTGGGCTTAAACAGGCAAATGTAACACCCCCAGGCCACTCACAGATGGGCTCAAATGCGGCCACGTCCCGTTGTAAGAGAAAGTACTCGCTGGCTCCATCGCGGTGACCATGTGGCTCTGAGTGGCAGCCACCCCCTTGGTGCAGTCGGACCGAGGAATCAGATCGAGGTCGGTTCGGGGAGGGCATCCCCGTGTTCTTCGTGCCTACGTCCTGGTACGCCCTGGGCAGGGCGCCCCTTGGATGCTCTGTGTGTCTTCGCTGGCGTATATATATATATGTATATATAGATATGTGTGTATATATATATATGTATGTATGTGTATATATATATATATATATATATATATGTATACGCACAGTCTGCTCTGAGAGAGATGAGCTGGAGCCCCGCGACGAACGCCTCGCTCGAGACATCCGCACCATCTGGGCGCGAACGGGCGAGTGCCCTATCCCCTGGCGGCCCCCCAACGGGTGCCTTTTACAAGCGCCTTGCTCGAGAGATCCTCACAAGCTGCTTTGAAAGGAAAGGAGTCGGAGCCGCGAAGCGAGCGCCTCGCTCGAGGCATCTCCACAAGGCGAGTGTACCCCTGGCGGCTCCCCCTTGAGGTGCTTGTGTGTCATGCCTGCTATATCGCGGTGAGTTGTGAGCGTGCTCGGTTGTTAGTTTGAGTGAATCTAAATGTATGAGTCCGGGTGTGAGTGTTCCGTGTATGAATGGATACGCGCGTGAGCGGTTGAGAGTATGAGTCTGAAGGTGAGTGAGGAGGGGGAGGAGAGAGTAGGCGGGAGGTGAAGAGAAGGAGGCGGAGGCGCCACACGAATAACAAGTACCGCATGCGTAGGATAGGGGGGATCACCCCAGCAAAGCACCATGATAGCAGCAAAGGTGCTGAAGATGATCATGATCAGCACCGAGCACCGAAGCTCCCTCTGTGGAAACGGCGATTCCTGGAGTCCTGTATCATGCTTCTCCCCGTCTCCCCTTGTGGGACTCTACTGTGGTCCTCACTCGTGGGGAGGGTCCCGGGCGAAACGGTGATTCCGAGAGCCCTGTCTCCCACCTCTCACCGCCCGCCCTCTTTGTGGGACTTCTGTGTGGTCCTTCTCGTCCGCTGGTGGAGCCCTTGCCGCATCTGCTATCAAGGACGTGATCGACCGCACTTCTGTCCATTCTCGCGCGCGCAAGCCTTCCGCGCAGGGTCACGCAGAAGCGCCCTCGTTCCCGCTCTGTGTGCCGCGCTGGTGGCTTGCGCAGACCACCGCGTGAAATCGCCGCCAGTGTCGTGCGCACGGCCCTCTCTTTACGCTGCTCGCCCGCCTCTTGAGGAATTCCTCCTCCTCCTCCTCCTCCTCCTCCTCCTCCTCCTCCTCCTCCTCAACGTCAAGTTCCCCTGGTCCGATCCGATTCGATTCCGATGTTTTGGCTGTCCGATTCGGCCCGTTGTTTGCATGGCGCTGTTATACATTCCGGCGCGTCCGATCCGATTCGATGTCGACTACGTGCCGATGCAGCCTGATCCGGCGCACATGCCGATTCGATCCGATTTCCAGAGTCGGTGCTGATTCATTCTGCTCCGCTCCTATCGCCTTCTGTCCTCCCCATTCCGCCCGTTGTTCTCCCTCGGCGTTCGCTTCTGTGTCCCCGCAGCCGCCCGACCGCCTCGTGAGCGCCCCGCGCCCGCTGACCAGAGAAGATCTCTTGGTGGGGGGGACGGAGGGGTGGGGGGAAGAATGCTCCCACTCCCAGGTGCTAGGGTCGCGGGCACACAGGGGTTCACAAGCAGTGCGGGGCGCCGCGGCTCTTATTCGGAGAATGCGGGGCACCGCGCAGTGGGGTGGGGGGTTGTGGGGGAGAGACTCGCTCGAAGAACGGCAAACGGCATGAAGCAGAAGTTGTCGATGCTCCGTGCAGATGTCTCGGACCTGCGCTGGGCCCCCCTGGCGGCGCCTCCAACGCCGACCCTGGCGCGCTGCGCGCGCCAGGGAGGGAGGTCCAGCGCGGGATCCCAAGAGGCCTGCGCGTGCCCCCCAGAGTAGACGTTATATGCAGCTTGCTGTTCCTCTGCTGGTGGTCGCAGCGACGGTCTCCCAGGGACGCGGCCGCCTCCGCGGCGTTCCGCGGCACCTCGAGCGAGCGCCTCGGGAGGGCGGCCTTGAGGACGGACCAGCCACAATCGACTACAGTCGGACCGAGGTATAAGATCGTGGTCGGTTCGGAGAGTGTGCCCTAATGTTCTTCTCGGTTGGTGGATGCTCTTGCGCATCCTGGGGGGGAACCTCGGATGTTCTGTGCGCTCTGACCGGCGGAGAGTCGTGCTCTAGAAGGATATTATTCTGTCTTAGGTCCGACTGCACACGAAAGAGCGACCCCTTCGCCGGAGTGAGCATTGGTACGGGCCCACTGGGGTCCCCCAATCGCCAACACGATACGATAGCAGCGGTTTGCGCGCTTGGGTCTGCCCCCCCTCACGCCCCCCTAAAGCCACGCACCAAAGATCAGCCTTGTCGAGGGGCACTCTTACGTGTAGTCGACACCTGCGGGACCTGCGGTCCCTTCGGCATATTTCGCGCCGTTCTGACGCGGTGGCGACCCCGGCGCGGGGCTCCAAGTTTGCAAGCCGCCAGAGGCCTGGAAACTGCCTACGTCGAGCGACCCGCGCTGTCGGAAAGCCGAGCCGCGGATCGTTCGAGGCTGCCTGGCTCACGCGGTGACGGGGACCAGCACGCATGCCATCGCGACGTGAACCCACCGTTCCTCTTCCCCCCTGGGGGGCCCGGGGGCTCCGACCCCCCCCCCAGAGCGATCCTCGACACGATTCCAGACATGCGGCGTTTTGATGTGTTCAACGTGCGGTCCCCAGGAGTCCCGACCCTTTCCCCGGGACCGGTTTTTAATCCTGAGTCGTTTTTTGACGCTCCCGGGGCCAAGCGAGATCGGACGGGGCTAGGACGGGGATAAATACATTCCAGAACGCTCTGAGAAGGCCGCGGCGCCCGAGACATCCTCCAGAGCCACTGGATCTCAGAGATTCTCGATCCATCCTCACCCGCATGTGGCCTCGTCCTGGCTTCGTCTGAAGTGAGCCCTGGGAGGCCGAACGGGACGAAAGACCTCCCGTCCTGATCATACAGTCGGGGCTCTGAAGAAGGAGCCCTTTTCGTTGGGGAGGGGCTCGGTGTTCCTTGCTTGTTCTGCAGTGTACTTTCGGTTCTCCGGAGGTTTCCCATGGGAAATCGAAGTTCAACTTATGGGAGAAAGGGGCCTCGTTCCTTATTCAGGGTTCCTTAGGTCAACGCCCCGACTGTATCACGACGCGAGCACGTCGGGGCCCCCTCCTCCGAGAGAGATCCTCGACACGCTGGGCCCTCCCAGGGGAGGACGGAGCACCGCGGCCCCCGGTTGCGGCTCCCGTCGGCGCGAGGAGCTCCAGCCCTCCCGCGGGCACGGCGGCCGCTGCCGAGCACGAGCCGCACAGGCCCCCCCCCCCCCGGCGGCCCGCAGGGAAGACGTCAGCGCAGGCTGTCGGAGATCTGGGCGGATGTCCTCCTCTCGGGCCCCTCCTCCTCCTCCTCCCTCCTCCTCCTCCCTCCTCCCTCCTCCCTCCTCCCTCCTCCCTCCTCCCCCTCCTCCTCCTCCTCCTCCTCCTCCTCCTCCTCCTCCTCCTCCTCCTCCTTCCGTAGCCATTTTGGCTCAAGGCCAAAATGGTATTCATTTCATCGCCTTCGCGGGGTAGGCTCCCACATAGTTTCGAACAGCCTTTGGCGCCACTGCACGGGCCCTGCGCCAGCCCACGCCCCTCCATATCTAAGTCCCGCGCGGCCGCGCCCGCGGGCATTCCATATTCTGCGCTGTGGCGCGTCGGGCACGCCGTGCTCTTTCTGGTGGTGCAGCAGCAGCAGGTTGCGTGCTCGCCCGCCCCGCTCCTGTACGTGAAGCAAGCTGCACCCACGACCTCACGGCGCGTTGGCATAAGGTCGGACCCGCTCAGTGGCAGCAGACTGGCATCAGTCCCATCGCAGCAGAAGACATGGGAGAGTCAAGCAGCAGTGCCTCCTCGTCCCGTGGACCTCGCCGACGTCATCAAGCTACCCGTGATCGTCGACGGGAAGACAGTGACTCCAAGAGCCGCAGCGGCCCCGACAACAGTGCTTCAGAGCGCCGCCATCGCCGACATCGAGACCGCCGCGACCATCGGGGAGACGACCGCGGGGCTGACGACAAGGATCGGGAGCCAGACCGAGCGCATCGCAGGGAGGATCGGGAAGATAGAGAGCGCGGTTCAGGTGGACGCTCATCTCGGAGATCTGGACCTTCGGCAGCACGCAAGGACACGGTTGCCGAACGAGACCCTTGGCAAGCAGCCGCGGGTTCCATGCGACATGCTGGAGCTAGTGGGGGACCTGCTCGACCTCATGAGCCGCAACACTTCCCACTTTCACCGCGAGCTGCACAACAAGTGCTACGCGACATGGAGGTCTTGCCTACATTTCCTGACGGTGAACTACCTGCAGCGGGCACGCCTGTTGGTGGACTTCCTACCCCACGAGCTGAAGATGACCCTCCTGCTCATGGTGATCTGGCTAGTCTCGAACAAAGGCTGGCGACACTGGGTAAAGAACAGATTGCATCGGCGACGGCACAGCTCACAGCGACGGCGAACGCTCTTATTGCAAAGCAGCAGCAGGCCTTCACCGAGCAGGTGGCAGAATTCTTGGCAGTCAGCAAACAAAACGCCGCTCACCTCGAAGTACATGACAAGGGCATCCATGAGCTCCAGGCCCGAGCTGACAAAGTGGAAGCAGATCAGGCCAAGATGCGACAACAGATCAGCGCCATGGAACAGACGCTGGCAATGGCGGAGGCTGCCATCCCATGCGATGTTCAGAAGCTCGCCACATGGGACCGCACTCCAGACCCCACAGTCTTCAGCATCGGCGCCCCCAGGGCGATTGCACCAGCCGCCGTCAAGGCAGCGCTCGCTGAGTGGATTCAGGCGTCGGGTGTTCCAGTGGATCAGCTTGTTCTTCACGGTGATGTACCTCAGCGACGATTTCATTTGCAAGTTCAAGGTGGAGCAGCAGCGCATGGACGAGCCCTCGCTCTATCTCGTGCCCTCAAGACTTCAGCTGGCTTCCGCACCTTCAGCGGGTTCGACACTGGCGGGGTCAACACGCCCATCTATGTTAGCGGAGACAAGAGCCCCAAGCAGGTCAGACTCGAGCTTCAGACTAAGCGTTTGCAGCGCATCATTCAGGACGCCTACCACGATCACCACATCGGAGCCCAGAGAAGCAAGGGCATTGTCACCATCGATGCCGTGCCGCTCGTCATTGTCGAGGTCAAGGGCCCTGATGAACCGTCCAAGCTACGCTGGGACATGCCAATCCTCGCGCGGTTCAAGGTGGACAAACAACCTCTGGTGGCAGCATTTGGACAGGCATTCGCGAGCGTGGATACGTCTACGTGGTCTATTTAGCAGAAGGTGGTCGCCCTGGACAACATCACCGTCAATGCGCAATGGCACCATCATATCGTGGAATGCCAGGAGTCTGCTTTGCTATCGTTCAAGGCGCCGCAAAGCCAAGATGAACAAGCTTGTCTCGTTCATGCGTAAGAAAGCGGTTATCTTATTGCAGGAATGCCGTGGCACACTACCTAAATTGCAGGCGGCCCTCGCTACTTATCCATATCCTTACAAGATCTTCCACAATCACCTCTCGCAGAAGGCGGGAGGCACAGCATTCCTGGTTCCGCTGGCAGATCGTGATCAGGAGGACCCTCAGGTGCACTTTGACCATCAGATATTGGCCGAGGGAAGGGTGGCCCTTCTCACAATATACAACTCCGCTGACAACTTCACGATGAAGATCATGAACGTACACAACTTCGAGTTGGACATCGTTGCCCAGTCCAAGATTGCACACACTTGGAAGGAAATGGTCCAATGGAATATTGAGAGCCCTGTTACTAGAGCGTTTGTGGCTGCTGGAGATTTCAATGTCAAATCAGGTCCCACGCGTAGCTACACCGATCCTGTTTCTCGGACATTTTCGCCAGGAACGCTGCCTGCTGAGACAGCCCGAGGCACTCAACCTTTGCAAGCGTTCTGGGAAAGACTCTTTGCGATGGTTACGGAGATCTCCACTGACTGCCCCACGCATTACTGCAGAGATACGTCCACGGCGGCTACACTGGATAGGTTCTTCATTGCCACCCCAGCGAACTACTTGCTCGACGTAGAGGTGATCGCGGAGGTGGATATTGATGCTGCCGCTATCTCGGACTCCAGGCTCAGCGACCACACACCGATCACCCTGCATCTTAGAGATCGAACCCGCCAGAGTGAGCAGACGGGCATACCTGAGCACGTATTTCGAGATCCTCGCTATGGTGAAATTCTTGGTCAGCTTCTTGATGCTGCACAACTACATCGATTTCCAGCGGTCTATCAGTGGAGATGCATGAAGGACTTCATGTCTGAGGCGGCACGCCAAGTCCGCAATGAGTTGCAGCGCATGCCGATCTCCGCCAAGGACCCTCGTGCCAAGGGGGGGCGCCTCATCACGCTCCGAGCTATTTCGCGATGTGTCTGGCGCAACGATGTGGGCACCGCCTACAAGCTGATGGCCACCACGGCCGACGGCGCGCGCTTCCTGGCCGTCTCCAACGGCTGCGTCGAGCTCGGCGAGCGGCAAGAGTTCGGCGCCCTGATGCGTGCCATCAACTTCGACTACCAGCAGAGGGAGGCATTGCACAAGCTGCTCAGGCTCCCGCCCAACAGCCTCAGCCTCGCCGATCTGAATGCGCTCCCATCGTTTTTAGCCATTGCCCCGTCTTCTGTGCAGCTGCTCGGCTGGGCTAGTGCATGGCGAACGTCGTTTCGCACGCTGAATCATGTTTGGCAGAGAGCGTTGTCCAGCCTGAAGCAGCATGCGCAGGACAACGCTACCATCGTTCGCATTATTGCAGGAAAGTTCTCTGCGCCGTGCTGGCGGCGGCCATTTTCAATCGCCCAATTCTTAGAACGTTCAAGGCTGCCGCCTCCCCGCTTCCCTAGTGCAGCTGGGTGGCAAGCTGCATTTCGAGCAGCACGAGAGCACACCAAGCGCGCGGAGCAGGAAGCCCATCGCCCTCATCCGCAGAGGGTATTTACACGCACGCTCCGCCCATCCGCCTTTCCCGACTCCTTTCCTATCACTCTTGGCAAGAGGCTGCTCGCTTGGCAAGTGGAGATTCCTGGGGGGCTGAGGTCGGTGGTCGGGAGGTGGGCTTCATGCAAGACTTGCCTTGCGACCCTCAAGCCATCCTGGCAGTGGAGCATTTTCAAAACGCTGTGCGGCGCGTGGACGACCACCCACAGGCTCCATATCGGGCACCCCCCAACCAGCTGCGTTTGGGGGTGCACAGCCCCAGATGCGATCGCACACTATTTGAGCTGTCCAAGACTGTATTACCATTGCGCCTGCCATCCTGCATGGGCACGCAGGCACTTTCCAGCCAGCCCGCTCACTCTCCTTGGCCTCGGGGAGGAGAGCGATTATCAGATCGAAGGCGCCGAGCTCAGTCGAGCCGAGTGCCTCAAGGCGACAGCCCTCGCTTTCCAGATGTACCACAAAGCGCCGAGAGCGCAAACTATGACTTTACAGCAGGCCATCGACATTCGAGGTGCCGCCGAGCTGGCACTCGAAAGATAAGCACGCGCCCTCATCCTGATATGGGTGGGGCCGGCGTTTCTTTGTTGAGGTGGGGTGGGAACTTGGATATTGTTTTGTGTGGGGTGGGGATCCTTCACAGTCCGCTGCGCGTAGCCGCAGAAGCACTTGTACGGTGAGTTGCTCCCGTCCTGCTGCTGCCCTGTCCCGCGCTCTCTTCTCCTGTGGGGTGGGGGGCTGGAGTTTATGGTTGTGGATGGGGTGTCTCGAGAGTGTTTCGCTCTTCACTTGCTCACTTGGACTGCTCGCCTGTCTCTGTGGGCTCCACTGGTGGCGTAAGTGGCAACGGGGTAGGCTACCCCTCGGGAGGTCGAAAAAGACCCTAGCGCCACCCAGTGGGAGCCCACGCTCTCCCTCGGCCGACGCTCGTGCGCTGGCCAGAGGTCGAGGTCGGCAGACGAACCGTCCCCATTGGTTACGTCATCTCCTCCTCCTCCTCCTCCTCCTCCTCCTCCTCCTCCTCCTCCGAAAGGGGGGGGGATTGGGAAAGAGGGGGGTACGAAATTTGCTGCATGCAGCTGGTTTCGGCCTCACCGAAGGGGCCCATTCCTCGATACGTGGCCGCCTCCAGCGCCGGGAGGCGCCGGGAAAGCCAGCTACGCGAGCCGATTCTCACCCCCCCCCCCTTTGCTATCCCCCCCTTTCGCCCGACCCGATCCTCGCCGTCCCTCCTCTTGTGGAAGACGAGCAATCGAGAGCAGGCATGTTGTCAAGTAACTTCCAGGTGTCCCGAAAGTGTGTAAAACATGTCAGACACAGCCCC